CTGAGCAACAATCAGCCTAATCAATTAATTACTCTAATCACTAATCAATTAATTACACTAATCATTAATCACACTGTTCATTTAAATTCACTAAATCATTGATTTTACTATTCAATTAAATTACATGAATCTTGATCTTTTAAACTAGTCAGTAATCACACTATTTGCACTAAACACTCTAATCACACTAATCAATTAAAACAATAAATCAATTAAACCATTAATAAAATATTTTATAGAAATTGATTATCTAATCGTTGATATAGGTGATGAGGTAGAAAAGTTGTAAGTTTTGAGGTAATGAATTAATCAGTGTTTGATTAAAGTAATGAGGTAGTATTAAGAGTCTGCAAGGAAAGGGTTAATTGTTTTACTAGCAGCTGTAGTTGACTGAATGAGAGGAATTTATTGCTCTTTGTAATAGCAGATCGCTATTACTCTGTAAACAAAAGGTTGTAACACGATGTTCAAAGGGTTTTTATCCGAGTGAAGGAAAGGGCTTCACTTCTAAGAACAGAGGAAACCAACTATTCTTCTCTCCTTTTTGCAAGCAGACTTTGATTCAGCAGAGACAAACTGAACAATTCACAGGGAGGCAACAGGAAACTTTTTGTTTTTGTTTTCCCTTGATGAATGAGATTTCTGGGCCCCTCCTAGTTAACTAAATACACTTTCAAAGTTTGTTGCTTTTAAGAGAAAGAGGCACGTCTTGCACTGGCAATTCGAACAGTTTATATTTTTACTGTGTAGACTCAGATTTGTATTGAGCATTCACTCCTGGCTTCAATATACTTCTGCTTCTATCACTCCTGGCTTCAATATACTTCTGCTTCTATCACAGGGAATACAATTGCTTCCAATCTTCACAGGAGTTCAGTTATAACAACACTTCCCTACTTATTGGGAGTCCAAAGTTACTGTCCTTTTAAAAGATGGAGTCCGGATTAGCAATTTGGTGAAGAGAGAAGAGGGAAGAGGGAAGTGGGGGCGGCAGGGGGGAAGCAGTCTGCTTCACACCCTGGCTGCAAACTTCTGAAGACAGACTCACAGCTCCCAGTGCTCACCGCCCTGCAAGGATGGGATGAATCTCACCGACTCACCGCACTGCAAGGATGATCATTCTCTGGGCTGGGTCGCTCCTGGGAAAAGTCGGATTCCCACTCAGCAGTCGAAGGGAAAACTCTTCTTTCTATCTGTTTCTGTCTGTCTCGGAGGTGGATTTTTGGATTCCCTAAAGTTGTAATCCAATTTGCAGATCATAGGTGGAAAAAAATATTTATATATATATAGAGAGAGAGAGAGAGCTTGGTGAAATTGGTGAAGTTGTTGACTAGTCATTTATTTTCCATCTCCAAATGCTTGGCTGAGGAGGAAGAAGCAGAGCAGAGCCAAATCCGCCTGGAAAGCTTTCATTCCTCGGAGTTGGAGGGAGAAGAGACGACGAAGTTGCGCGCTCGAGCTGAAGCCACAGTTGGAGCGCTCTCGCCCAGCGATCCTCCCGGCCGGCGCTCCTCGGGTTTTCTTCCCTCTTTCTCCAGTCCCCGGGAGCTCTCGGCGAGCTGCAACGGCGGTCACGAGAGGCGGAGACGGCGGCTTAAGCGGGAGCCAGAGCGAAGCGGCAGCAGCGGCAGCGGCGTCTCCTCCGCCTTTTTTCCTCCCTCGCTGCCCGTCGTCTCCCTCAAGTTTTTCAACAACTTATGAAACTGCAGGTGGGTCACTTCTAAGCTTGCAGTCCTTGCCAGCAGTTGCCACAAACCCACAGCTCATTCGTTCTCTGTGTCAGCTTTCCTCTCCTGAGACCAGGCAGATTCTTTAGACCAGGTAGCTTCTTGTCACTAGGCAGCTTTTTCCTATCCAGGCAGCTGAAAAATTTGTGATTTTTTTGTCTAGATCCTAGCAGATCGCTCGATCGCCTTACCCAACAAAGGGAAGCTGCTCAAAACGGGATTCCTGGACCCTGGCAGGATCCCCTCACTCCAGATCGGCTGGCTGCCTTTGTCCGAATCCTTACGCTGCTACTTTGTAGATCCCGAGGACCTAATCTATGTATTTTTGTTACTTTTGTTACTTCTATTCCTGTATCTGAATTTAGTTACTGGTACTTTTCTCTCCTTCGGGCTCCCAGCGGCGTGACTATGCAGCTGCCTTGGTCGCCATCTTGGAGCAATCTTGGTTGCCATCTTGGGTGCAGCTGGGCTTCTCTCAGCAGGCCAAGTTCACTGTGGGTCATTTTCCTCCACATCCAATCTTTCCTCTCCTTTTCCTTTCTCCACTTTTTTCTTTCTCTCTGATTTATTCCATGATTTATCTTTCCCTCTCCACCTCTCCTCCTATCATCTATCTTAGTTTAATTGCAACTCTTCTCTCCTTTTAACTCCCTGCGATGTAACTATGCTTCCTCTATTGCTGCCACCTTGGATTCTATAGTCAACAGACCATGGCTCAGCTGCCAGTGTACAAATCTTAAAGGATTGAGTTCCAAAGCTCTCAGGCCATATAAATGAGATCTGCACAATTTGAGACTACTTTAGCTGACTAATAGCTAAAAGTTATGTCTATCTGCTATTGCTACTTTTTTTCTTTTGCAGCAAGAACAGAAGTATTATTAGCCCTTGATGGAAGAGCATAGACTTAGCTGATGACTGGTCATAATTCGGGGTGGGTGGGGTGGGGGCTCTGCCTTTGGCTTGGCCTCAATGCCCCAGCTGGTTGGGAAGGCAGGCTGGCCACTTGTGCTACCGAGGTTGGGCTCTGGCCCTGGTGGATCAGCAGCAGCTGAGCTGGCCAAGCTGCTCTCACCATGGTTGACCCAATTTGGCACATAAGTTTTACTCCTTGGATCTCCATGTGTTCAAACCTCCCTCTCAGCAGTTTTACTGATGGGCTGTGAAGGGTGATCAGGTACTTCCATTCTCTGTACTCATCTGACTTTGCAGCCCTCTTCACTTTCCATCTTGGGATGATAGTGGCCAGAGACTGAGGGGAACTCAGGGGAAATTCCACTTCAGCAGCCTTTGGCATACACTTGCACCCAGCATCCACTTCTGTTTGGTAAAGATCCACAGTGGCTAGGGCTTTCTCCTGAATTGCTGGCTTCTTCATCTTTTCCATATGGTCCTTTATTTATGGCATTCAGATCTTCAAAAAGGAGTTATAGGCTGTAACTAACGAAAGCTAATAGAGATAATAGTCTCATGATAATAGTCTCATGAATTGATTACGAAATGAAGGACACAGCTTATTGTCTGTTTGAAAAATAAATTCCAAAATGGCTATTTTATCCAACAACAGGGTGATTTCAACCCTGCCCCCTATATTGGAAGCTTGGCTATTCAAACTGCTTGCAGACTGTTGCTATTATTGGAGGATCTTGAAGGATGATTCTGAGACTGTCCTTAACATCGGAGAGTCAAATAAACAAAAGGAAAGGTGTTCCTTCTGTTGTTAAGTTGGAAAAATGACAGTCCAGAGCAAGGGTGTCAAACTCAAGGCCTGCAGATTGGATTCAGCCCACAGGATGCTTAGATCTGACCCACGGGGCCACCCTGGAAACAGCGAAGTACTGCAGTGCCTCTCTCAGTGAAAATGGAGCTCATGAGGGCTGCACGTGGCCTTCCTGGACTTGGCTCTCGACTGCAGCAGCCTCCTGTAGCCCTCTGCCAGTGAAAACAGAGTTCACACGAATTTAGTTTTCACTGGCAGAGTGAGAGCAAAACAAACTACTAGCAAAAGTGGCATTTGATCACACGAGTGATGTCACTGGCCACGCCCACTTTGACCATGCCCACCCGGGCCCCCTGAGGTCAAACAGGGGTGGGCTGATGCAGCCCTCAATGAAATCGAGTTGGACATCCCTGGTCCAGAGGGAGGATATTCTCTGTTGCTGGCAAAGTCTTTACTGGAAAGAGAAGTTGGCAAAGCTTATTGAGCTGCTGAGATAAAATCTTCAGTTTCTTTTTATTATTATTATTTCAAGAACAACGTAATCCTGAGACATTAAAAAGGGTGGGGGATAAAGCAGGAAGAAAAAAATGGGTGAGAAAAGGGATTAAGATTCTAATAATCTTTTGTCATATTGTGTAATGAGAATTACTCTGGATTTGTAGAAAGCAAGAGAAAGGAGGGTGGCTTAGAAAAGAGGGCAGCATGGAAAAAAACAAAAATAAAGTCATGAGGAAAAGGTGAACCTTTAAAAAAACACAGAATGAGGATCTAAAACATATTTAGTGACCTCTTTTATATTCTGAAATTGTATAAAACTTCTGGGGGGGGGGCTTTGTTATTCATCTAAACATTAGGATCTAATGCATTTCTCTTTAGTTTTTCCTGTGTCTTGTTTTGGACCTCCCCTCGCCCATTGCCCAGAATGGCCCGATTTTACATTTTCTTTAATTGTACTGATGATTCTGCAAAACCCCCTCCAAATATTGCAAACATGCTATCCAGTGGTGGGATTCAGCCGGTTCTCACCGGTTCAGCCAAACCAGTAGCTAACTTTTTGTGCAGTTCAGTGAACTGGCTGAAAATAATGTGCAAGAGAGTTTTTTTTCCTTCTTCCTTCAGTAAATAGCTCTGGGTAGACAGCCAAGAACCACTTAACAGGCAAATACTTAGTTGCAATAACAAAACAGCAGGAATACAGCCAGCACAGGCCTTGAATAAACAATAGAAACGGACAGGATTAGGGCAGGGAAACACTCAGGAAACCCATCAATCACCCATCTAGGGATGTGATTAACTTCTTCCCTTCAGAAAAAAGGACAAGATTACAAACATTTTCATTATAAAGGGTATGAAGTAAAACTTCTGTGGAGTTCCCCAAGATATTTTTATAGCTGCTGCATTGTTGGCCACTTCTTGTTTCTTCCTGGGGGAAAAAGATACAGGATGTGACAATGATGCAACTCGATCATATAGGCCCTGAATTTAACATGTTGTATTGCTTCTGCTGTGAAGCACCCAATTTAGAACATAGAGAATATAGAATAATAGAGTTGGAAGGGACCTCAGAGGTCTTCTAGTCCAACTCCCTGCTTGAGCAGGAGACCCTATATCATTTCAGACAAATAGTTATTCTGTCAATTTTTGAAAGCCTCCAGTGATGGAGCACCCACAACTTTTGAATGCAAGCAATTCCAGTGGTTGATTGGTCTCACCCTTAGGAAATTCCTCCATAGTCCTAGGTTGCTTCACTCTTTGGTTTAGTTTCCATTCATTGTTTCTTGTCATGCTTCTTTGTGCTTTAGAAAATAGATTGACCCCCTCATTTTTGTAGGAACCCCTCAAATATTGGAACAGCGCTATTTTATTATGACATTTTATTGTGAGTTGTGAGTGCTATTTTGTGAGTTTGTGAGTTGGGGAAATGTTTGGCAAACATGATTAAATGGAAAAAAGGGTATGGTTGAATTTCCTTTTTAAATCCTGTCAGCACTTCTCTTGATAAAAAGTGAAAGATCATTAAAAACAAGTATTGTAGAGCTGGGGCGATTTTTGCACTGTCAGTTTGAAACAATCTCAAAATTTCCAATGGAAAGAGCACCTAAAAGAGGCATGGATGACTTTCCTACCTTTCTGTAGTTGACTAGGTTGTGCCAGTTTGATGAAAGGTGGATGTCTCAGCTCTCTTCCACCTGAGACACTCAGGGAGAAGCAGTTTGTACCCTGGTGCCTCCACCTTTCTGTCTTAATGTAACTGCTTAATGATTTCTGCTGCCATTGCCTGTCAGTCACATGGACGTGTTTACCTGATGTTTTCTCACATAACCCTGGCATGTGAGACAGGTAAAAATTTCACAGGCTATGCCATCACTGAAGAATAAACCAAACAGTAGAAAAATAAAGTGAATAAAAATAAAATAAATGCAGTAGTGTAAGGCATGTTAAAAAGCAGTCAGCACCCCTTCTCCTTTAAAAGGACATCATTCTCACAAATAATTTATTTTTTGTTAGATGTTTATCCTATCTTGATTACTTTATAAGGAACTCAAGGTGGAGAACTTATCTAATATTCCTTCCTCCTGTTAGTTTCCCCACAACCACAATCTAAGAAGTAGTTTGGGCTGGGAGAGAGTGGCTGGTCACTCAGCATTTTTTCAAGCCTAAAATGAGACTAGAACTCTTGGAGTCTCTTAGTTTCTAGAGCAACACCTTAACCACTACATTGTTTAAAAAGGAGGAAGGAATGCCAAAATAACTTGTAAGAATTGCATGCGAAAACAAGGTTGGAGGAAACAAACTTTTAAAGCTGCAAACATCACAGATAACATTTCAGAATAATTGTCAGATGGTGCTCCATTCAAAATCCAAGAAAGAAATACTTAAGACTCCATTAATCAGAGAAAAGATATCTTTTACTGGAAATCAAGTGGTAGCAACAAAAGAATTCTGAATCTGAGAAAATGAGCGTGTAAATCACATATACAAAGTGACGGCAACGTTCCCACCCCCAATAGTTTAATTGGCTCATCCAATTAAAAGTTGTGTATAGCATCATGTGGGCATCTCCAGGTGGTGATGAGGCCTCTGTTCATTGACCTTGACATAGGATAGCATAGGATAGAAGCCTAAGCAAGAATCTTCCCCACCCCCCAACTTATACAGTTCTGTTTTGTAACACCTCCAGCTCACTTCCCATAACCATGTCCCCCCTCCTCCCCCGTTACTTATGACAGCTGAAAGATGCAAAGCAAAGGAAGAAAATCTTGAAGGCTGACATTAATCTGACATTAATGATGCAAAAGACAAGACAGGTTGTAGCAAATTACAATCTGAGATGGACTCGTTAATAGGAAAGGAGACTAGAATGAGCAGTAATATTTTACAAGATGCATCAAATCTGAAGTCAAGATGTTTGTTATTTGCACAAGGCAAGTGTTCTTTTTATTTGAAAACTACTTGCTCCAGTGAGGTGAGTGGCCAGGCATGACAAGGAGTGACTGGGTGTGGCAAGGAGAGGCTGGGTGAGGCAAGGTGCCCCTCGACATGAAAGACATCGAGTTGGCCACACCCACCCAGTCATATTACTACCCAGCCACACCTACCCAGCTAGTCATTAGGGCAGAGAACTGGTTGTTAAATTATTTGAATTCCACCAAGAAGAAGAAGAAAATGCTTGCAATTAAACAAAACCGTCTCTGTGTACTGCTTAAATGGTGGGTGCTGGGGGCAAGACTGATTATGCTGATTTGGGTGTTTAGAAATGAGGTTACCTTGAAAGCATAGAGGGAATTTTAAACTATTGGAAAAAAATATTTATTCAGGAATCAGGCATCCAGTTTTTGTTTTCTGGAAGGATTTAGCACTTTTCTGTATGTAAATTTCTGTGACTTACAGAGACAATAACATGTGATGACCTTCTATTGTCAGGGAAACTTGCACAGGGCATTCCATTGCACAGTTGAGAGAGATCTTGGAAAACCGAAGTATAATTGTCTCCTGCGAAGACAATTACAGGTAATTGTGAGCAGCAAAATAATAAAAATTACAGAAATAATGCAAGATTATTATCTGCAAAAACCTCAACAAAAGCAGTTTCTGATTTATTACTTGGTAGATATTATTGTCATTTTAATCAAGAAGTATTAATCATTGCAATTTTTAAGGATACCGTTTAAACTAGAGTTAATATAATAAAAGAAAAAGAATAAAAGTTATATCCATGGCTCCCCCCTCACAAATCAACCTTTCCTAGAGGTTACAATAAATCTTATAAAAACGATTCCATTATTTGGTTATAATGTGAACATATGCAGAATCAGGTAAACAAAATGTAGATTGGGAGGGGTATCAACGTTTTTGTAAATAGCGTTTCCATCAGTTTATTAATGTGGTGTTATCAAGATAAAAAATTAAAGATTGAAATGTATTTTTGAATTATGTGTCCCATACTTGAGGCTTCCAATCACATAAAGAATAAGAGGATGATCTGGGAGGAAAGGGACAGCCAAACATATCACTATTTATACACATCATTCAAAGATAGTGTGACCCCAAACTCAACCTTAAGTGTAGGTGTAGGTTGACATGATGGAAAGACATAATTAATTTTATGTCTCTGGGGAAGGTTTAATGCTGCATTCAATTGAATTGAATTATTTTTATCATGCAAAGTAGCAGGTTTTCCTGATCGTTCTGTATTTTTTCTTTGCTTTTTGTCTATTAAAATGGAAATTTTGGCAAAATTAAACTTTCATAAACTATATTCAATAAGGTTGCCTAAAGTATCCTATTCTACTTATATTAATAACTAGAAACTTTTAGTAATACATAGGCATTGATAAATTAGATCTATACATCTTCTGTATAGATGTAGACTTGCCATATTTATTTATTTTATTTATTCAATTTGTTACCCATCTTTCCAATGTATATGTGGATTTATATGTATATTTTGTTACTGTTTTACAACAGGCCGGCACAGTTACTTCAGTGTTCTAGAAACCCCAACCACACCACCTGCACACTTTGTTCCTGAAATCATGGTATTGTTGTTAGCTAAATATAATATTGAATGAAGTATAATATATAATCTATAAAGAGGAAACTAGAGAAGGAGAGATGGTAATAAGGAAAATCGTAGCTAATCTTTGGTTTGCATTAGCGTAGAGATATTGCATACGCTGTGTGGATTGACAAAATAAAAATAAAATGATTAGAAGTGGTTTATATCTTTCCAAAAATAATCAAAATATTCTTATTAGAGGCCACTTCCAGATGTGAGGGCTATGTCTTTCAGAGATCAGAGCCATCACAAGTCTTCCATTTGATAACATGAACCTTCAGACAATCTTTGCCATCTAAATCAATTAACATCTGAGTTTAATGAGCTCAGCTTTTGATCCTGAGGGATCCTGATGAAGATAAGTAGACTGCTGTTCATCTGTGGCCATCAGTCGTTGGATCTCAGGGCAGGGGTGGGATTCAAATTTCTTAACCTGTTCTGTGGGCATGGGCTAATTTGTGAGTGTGGCTTGCTGGTCATGTGACTGGGTGGGTGTGGCTTGCTGACTGGGCATGGCTTGCTGGTCATGTGACTGGCTGGATGTGGCTAGGTGGTCATGTGACTGACAAACCAAATATAAGTGGTCCTCGCTTAATGGTCAGTTGCTTAGCAAGTGTTCTAATTTACGACTGATCTCCCCAGAGCTACTTGACCTGTTTTTGGTGTTTTGACAGCGATGCACACACACAAACACGCAGTCAGCTGCTGGCTATTTTCTTGGCATGCGATCTATAGAACTTGGGTTTATCTACCTCTATCCCAGCACCCCACACTGGCTATCATTATAGTTAATTCTGCTATATTTAGATTTTTTAAAAATGATTTGTGGCTGAAGAAAAATAGATTTAATTTGGAAAGACCTATCTTGGGTCACCTTTTGAAGTGACCTCCATTCGAAAGAAGACAATCATATTTTAAGCCTGGATAACAAATCATTGTTTTATTCCGGGTTGGCTTGTAGTCATCCAAGAGGTCAAGGTAACTTGAGCACTTACATTGGACCCAAATATCCAGATACTGAAACTGAGCTGCAGTAAATGCCGTTCCGATAAGTTACATAATTCTTTAAATAATAACAACAACAACATTTTTACTCTTACGGGATGCTTTTTCACCTTTTATGTGTTTCAATGAGCACCGATATAGGGCAGTAAATAAAGTTCTGTTTGAGTCCCAAAGCAAATCTTTCAGAAGAAATCCTTGTTTCCAAAATTATTCACATAACAAGACAATAAAAATACACTCCTGCAAAAAAAAAAACTAGTATAAAAAAAATAATTGATTTTGCAGTGATGATTCAACACTTGTGTTGAGGTAATTCCCCATTAGGAGAATGAGCGCACACAGGGAGACGGTAGTGAGAGTGGTGAAGAATAACACACAACCAGCACACAGATACACTGTATAGTAAAATGTAGGTTTTTACTTCCAATAAACGTTTAAGCAAAGTCCAACAAACAGTCCAAGTCATTCACAGTTAAAGCAGTCAATTTTCAGTCCAGGGATAATCCAAATAACAAAGTCCAGTATCATAAACAGTTTAGTAACAGACTTACATCAAATCCAAGAAGAACAATGATCAGCAACAGTCAATAGGGAAATGCAGGAATGGCAACACTCTCAGCAACAACAGAATAACCCAGGTTTCTGGCTCCATCTTATGGCCATTTGAGGAACCACACCCAATTACAATTTTAGCATTCCCTTAAAGAGACAGTATTAAAATGTCTATCCTGGTTTATATATTTTCCAACCCAACTGTTAGGTGACTTACATTCCTAACAACTTGTGTATGTTAACCCATGTAATGAAAAGTCACTTCCTCCTGGGCATCGGCAATTAAAAGAGGAGGTAAGGAATTGTCTCAATAGACATTACTGTTTCGCCCTTTTCCTATTTTCCTCATCATCATCCATGGAAGAAGAGAAATCTTCTCCTTCTCTCGTGACTGTGGGAAAGGAGAAGGGCCCTCAGGGATTCTCTATTTGGAGAACGTTAACATTGGACTTCAATTCTGAGAATTCTCCAGCCAGCAGTGAGGTTGAGTAACCCTGCTCTGGCCAAGGAAGGGATCGACATTGGTTAAGAAGGGATCAAAGGGAAGGGCTGGCTATTGCTGCAGGACATGGCCAAGTTGGCAGCTATGGTGATTGCCCACCCCATGGCTACTATATTTTGCAAAATTGGAGGGATCCCCCCAGTAGTGGGATTCAAATTTTTTTACTACCAGTTCTGTGGGCGTGGCTTGGTGGGTGTGGCAGGGGAAGGATACTATAAAATCTCCAGTCTCCACTCCGAACTACTCAAAATTTCTGCTACTGGTTCTCCAGAACTGGTCAGAACCTGCTGAATACCCACCTCCCTGATATCACATAGTCAAAAAACACTCGCTTACTCATGTGGTTTGGGAGTTTAGAGTCAAACCTGCCTACTGCTTGATTGAAAAGAAAAACACAGAACAATGAATCGTTGGGCTTACTTTTAAAAACTGAGGGAAATAAAAAAGTAGCAATATTTATTTATTTATTTATTGCCAGTTTCAAACCAGCCACATACTATTTACTAGGCAAGAATTATAGTCGTGGTGCTATTGTAGCATTCATGACATGGAGAGATTTAAAAGACATTAGAAAGGAACAGACGGTTATTCGTACCTGTTGCAGATGCACTTTGATGCATATACATTCACGCAGACATTTTAATGTATGTGCATGGATTAAGACATACATACAAACATCTGTATGTGGATACATGTCCAAGGAAAATCCTTCCACAGAAATGGAGGCAATAGTCAACAGCATTTGTGGACCAACAAGGTGAAGGCAGGAGGGCACAGAAGCAAGGGAATCATCTCCAAGTTAGGAGCGCCTGCTGGTCTGTTTCCGCGAGTGCAAATCTCAGGACAGGAGCAACAGAAAGGCTTGGGACATGTTTTTTGTATTTCTTTGCTGCCCTCTAGTGGCCACCTATAAGTTTACAGTACAAATATTTGAGGCTGTAAAAATCCTAGGGACCACCTACACAGGGATGCTTCGTTTAGCGACCATTCAAAGTTACAGCAGCCCTGGAAAAAAGTGACTCACGACAGGTTCAGCATCCCCAGGACCACGGGATCAACCTCCAGGGTCTTGGCCGCTGGATCGCATTTATGACCAGTGCCCTGTCGGCTTTTCTCCACCCATTTCGTGAGACTTCCGTGTTGTGTATTTTGCAGCTGTGGCTGCCTGTAGACCACGAGCAACCTCCTTTCTCTCTGGTGCCGCCCATGTCCTTCTAAACCCAGGAATGCCTTGATGGATGCTCGTTCTGTCCCCTCGCAGGGAGACTCCCTGAAGGCCCGGATGCCCGAGAGCTCCTGGCCGGCTGTGCCAACCCAGTGCCCATCCTTCCCTCCCTCTCGCCATCCTCAGGCGAGGGACAAGGGGCCACAGCTGCTCCCCCACCCATGGCCACTGCTGCAGAGTCATCATCTCCCACCACTGCCGGTGGTGGGTCAAAGCTCCTTTCGGAGCACTGCTGGAGTGCCCCCCCCTGCCAAGAAGCCCCCAAGCGAATCGGTGCTGCTGGCTGGGGAACAGAGCCCACTGCTCGCTTCAGCCCTAGATAGATAGATAGATAGATAGACAGATAGATAGATAATCTATGTATCTATCTGTACCTACCTACCTATCATCTATCTATCATCTATCTATCTATCTATCTATCTATCTATCTATCTATCTATCTATCTATCTATCTATCATCTATCTATCATCTATCTATCTATCTATCTATCTATCTATCTATCTATCTATGCAAAATACCACTCACACGTCATCACAAAATCCATTCCCCCTCCCCACCCGGAAAGAAATCTATCCCAAATGCAAAACACAAGCAGAGGAGAGGAGTTTCACTTTCACAGCACCAACCAGCTTTAGTACAGAATAGTTTAGCTAAGCCATGCCCAGGTTCCTTGCTGTCTCCTTGCTCACACAGCAAATACTGCTTCAGTTTCCAAACAGCCCTCAACTCTCTCACACACTGACAGGACGCTAGCCAGATGAATACCCATGAATGCTGGTAGGCAGAGGCAGAATTCCCCCCTCCCTTAACATAGTTTCATAGCGAAGCACGGGTGTCGAGCTCATCAGAGATAAAGGAACAATATTAATTACGATCACTTTTGAAGAACAATAATATTTTTAAAGTGGTTTATCCTAGAAATTGCTGCAGTACAATTTCCAATGACTGCTGCCTGTACAGAAAGCAGTAATTATAATCTGACAACTGGTATTTTTCTGCTGGAAGTCTGCAGCCCATTTTTAAAAAACAGAATTAAATTACTAATGGAGCTTTAACCACTACTTTTAAGAGAAATTATTACATTCACACAAACGCAAAGGGCAGCATAGGTCATTACCAGGAGATTAGTCACTGGCATATTTGTCTGTCCTTTAAAAAATTCGCCACTCACGTCTCATATCACTGCACACCAACAGTTCTGCTATTCTTTTTCCGTGCTGAAAGACATACATTGAGCATACGGTGTGATCTCCTGGAATCTTTTGACACTACAGATTGCAACAGAAAAGGCCATGGCTAGGATCCCTGAGCCATGTAATATGTCTTCCCAGGAAATCTCATGAGCGATAAAGATAACAGAAAGAATCTTCCAGAAGTTTGACTGGGGACCCAGCTATCATAACAAGGCTGGTTCAGTTGAAATGCTCTGCAAAATACAGACCTACCCACAATACATAATACACATCTTTCCTCCCCATATTTATTTCAGTATTGGTGAAAATGACATATTGCCATCCAGAGGAAAATGGGACATGTATCAAAAGGAATCCTTTATCAAGATGAGACAATTCATGTAGGAGTTCAAAGCAGCATCTAAGGTCTCTCAGGCATACAGGGAGTTTAGAACTCCTCCCCTTATCTCGATGTGTATTTAGTGAAAGAAAAGCCAGTATGTTAATTCCCCCCACCCCTTTTGTAAGGAACTATCTTTTTCAGTTTCCCAGGTCATGCCTAATTTCCCCCACTCCCTTTCAGAATGAACTTTTCCAGAGATTCCCAGGACACATCTCACTGTGGAATTTTTATGGTCTTCTCATCTCCTGGCTGTGCCTCTCAGAGGCGATCGGTTCCTGCCAT